ATGTCAGATACGATACCCAGTCAGCAATCCTGACCACCCGATCCCGTTAGTCGCCTCTTACGACAAGCATTGGTTACTGAAGATCAATTATAACCCGGATCTTCTAAGGTCTGCAAATTTTATTGAACCACAAAGGACCGATTATTATATATCCTCTATGATTTTATCGAAAAAGATTAACTGTCCCCAAACCAACTTGTAAAAATAATAATGCTCCTTTAGTTATGATGGCATTTTGTTTTAAATGGTTTATTTCTTTTTATAATTAGTACCATGTAGCTCTTGATGACAATTGGGTGCCCAAAGGAATAGTTTGGAGGGTTACTAAACCCGCAGTTGTTCTATGTGAAAATCAATCTGCAATAACATCACTCGAGAACAATAAACAGCATTACATCTGTAACTAACAACGTGGAACACGACACTCGTTACTGACACGTGATGGCTTTAATGTGACACAGGGTTTCGAAAAGCACCTGTCATCATGTTAAATACTTGAAACGGCCGTGAAATTGACAAGTGATGTCGAGTCCTTTCGCAACTGGGGCGCTGAGTGTCGAAATAAAACAGCTTAATGAAAGATGAGAGTGTTTCGTTAAAGGGGTCATATTATAAATATTCTGTTCACTCAAATTTGCTTCTAGGACCTGTCCGTCTAGTTTTTGTTGTTTTATACATTTTAATTCGTTCGGACGAGGGTTTTTTCTTTCTTCTTTTTTTAAAAAAACAACAAAGAAATCCCAGATCAGTATTATTCATACCTAGAAGCCATTGATGATGCTATCCCCACTTTGTTGGTTGGAATACAACAAGATTACCCAGTCAGCTGTATCCCAGCTGTACAAAGACAATTGCTTTTGATCGTTCACCGGGTGTCAACTTAGCTGTTGTGGTTAAGGGGGAAAATAACATAGATCTATAGATTTCAACTACATTTTTTTAAGGCGACGTGCACAAAGATGTGTGTACTCTTAGTAAGCAAGTAATTAAATATACATTAAACATTAAATATACGAAACATGGCAGCGTCTTCCCAATACCATTCTACACAGCAAACACGCTGGACGAAGTATCACTGCGTCTATAGTGCACTTGCTAGCTGGTGTCGCTCAATCTCTGCCGGTAACACACGGCATTACACAGCTTTGTAGGTGAGTGTGGCTGGCGGCTGACTATGGAATCCTTCAACCAGAGTGCGACAACGCGATATATTTTGACCTTGAAAATTATCGCTATGTCGCATTGTCGCCCTTTGACTGTGTCTGTGGATGTGTGAGTGTGAGTGAGGTAGTGAAGTGGCGAGTAGGTTTGGATGAATACCAAAATATTGTTCAAAGCGCGAGAATGCGACAAACTGGCAAAATGACGCATTGTCGTGTTTTGGTTAATTTTGCCACTTTTTGTCTGTTCTTGTGAGGGTAACAACAATATTATTCAAAGCGCGACAATGCGACAGCGCGACAATGTCCCTTCTAGGATTCCATAGCTGACTCTCTGTGACATACACCAAGCCTGTAACTATAAGTTACTGTAAATATATCTGAATCAACTTATACTATAGTCCGTTTGGCTCAAAAGCGGACCGATGAATTGCAATCTAACTCGAAAACTTATAAACATAAAATACTCAATGAAACACTGATCATAATGAAAACGTCAGACCAACTCTGAGAGGTGTTTGCAGAATTTATGTCCTAAAAATAAAAAAGTTGTTTAACAAACTATCATTAAAAGTTCACTATTTGTTACGAGGGACGAGTGCAGAGAAAGGGACAGCCGGGTCCGCGAGAAAGGATGGAGACTGCACAGCACAGGTTAATGAATCAATAACTTTGTCGGCACTTGTGCACGTGCTTCTCTAACACCTGGCTGTCCCTTTCACTCCTCCCTCGTAACAAATAGTGAACTGTGTCAATATTTTAATGATAGTTTGTTAAACAACTTTTTTAATTTTAGGACATAAATTCTGCAAAAAACTCACAGAGTTGGTCTGATATTTTGATTATGATCAGCGTTTCATTGAGTATTATATGTTTATTAGTTTTTGAGTTAGATTGCAATGCATCGGTCCGCTTTTGAGCCAAACGCCCTATTTTTTATATCTGTGGTTAAATCATTGTGTTGCATGTAGAACAAACTATAGGGTGGAATCATGAAATATCGGACAGTGTGCAGGACGTTGGGGGGGAGTAGGTAGATATAATGTATTTATAAGTGTGAATGGGACAGTGTGAAAGAATAAGGGGAAGTAACTCCTGTCTGTACACGACAAATGACATAACCAGCGCGTGTGCACACTGGCCACTAAGAATGTTATTTACTCACAAACAGTTATATAAATATGCTCTCTCAAGATATATATATATAAATGATGATTCGTTATTGCAACATCTATGTACGTGCGTAAGAGAAAAGAGAAGTAACTCTTGTGTGCCAATAAGAATCAACGCCATGTATGCTTCCACTTGAGACGAACGTAACAGTACAATGTACATATAAATGGATTGACACATTAGGCTAACATGTTATCAGGTGGTAGTGTTTTATGCATTCATCTAGTTATGAAAGCTGAAAGTAATTACGGCTAAACTCCAACAATATGATGAAGGATTTTATTGGTTCAAGGTCATTGTTTGAACGTGTGGATATGTGCATTCTGCTTAAAAGAGTTTATAAAACGGTTGGTAGTGGGTTTGGGGGTGGGGTGGGGGGGTATATGGTTAGGGTACGTCTCAATAATGTCACTTCTTGGAATGTTTATATTCCAGCACTATCAGGGGGACACCTGCAATGGGCTTCACACATTGCACCCATGAGGGGAATCGAACCCGGGTCTTTGGCTTGATGAGCGAACGCTTTGCCCACTAGACTACCTCACCACCCCGCCATATTAGAATAGGGTGCCCAGGGATATCTTTAGTTAACATAAACTACATTCCATAAAGGGGTAAAGTTAATTTTGTGAGTGAGTGAGTTTAGTCTTACGCCGCTTTTCGCAATATTCCCGCAACATCATGGCGGTGGACACGAGAAATGGACTTCACACATTATACCCATGTGGGGAATCGAACCCGTGTCTTTGGCGTGACTTGACCACTACACTACCCCCACCATCCCTACATATTGTAGAATAGGGTGCCCAGAGATATCCTCAGTTAATATAAACTGCATTCCACAAAGGGGTAAAGTTAATTTTGTTATTTTCGCTACTCAGTTACCTTTTGTGAAAGTTCCCTACTGAGATGTAATGTATGCGATTGTGTAATGTCATTATGTAGATTTTTAAATCAATTAATCATAAAGTGTAAGCTTTGTGAGTTACCGGTATATGTTAGTGATCAACTACTGTTCGAAAAATGTATTGCTCAGTACAATTGTGAATTCACTACTGTGAACGCTTGCAATGAGTGAGTGAAATGAGTTTAGTTTTACGCCGCTTTTAGCAATATTCCAGCAACATCATGACGGGGGACACCAGAAATGGACTACACAGCTTGCAGTGAATTGTTATTTATTTATGCCAAATGTTGCAGGGTGATATGTTTTCATGCCCTGTGATGGACGTCGAAAATAAAATAGTCCTCACCCTACAAGCGTTGTGTTCTTTTGGAAGCAGTCACGTAATAAATCCCAAAACATTAACAACTTCCGACAACTTATACTCCTAAATATTAGAACGACACTAATAACTGACTGACTGACTGACTGAGTTTGGTTTTACGCCGCTTTTAGCAATATTCCAGCAATATCACGGCGGGGGACACCAGAAATGGGCTTCACATATTGTACCCATGTGGGGATTCGAACCCGGGTCTTCAGCATGACGAGCCAACGCTTTGACCACTAGGCTACCCCACCGCCCCACGACACTAATAAAGCTGTTTATAAGAGTTTTTCCTCTACAAGGATTTTATGACTTACTTTTAAGTCAGGCGTTACATTATAATCATGTTGTTGGTCAAGCACACCTTAGATCAATTCTGAATTGATATTTTTACAAAAAAAGAATTACCCTACAAAGGGTTAACATAAGTAATGCAGATCAATCATTGCATAAACAAACCGCTACGTCCGGGTTGTCGTGGATGGTGTTACAACGAGACACGCATATGCCTCGTTATACCGCGATAAAGGTAGTTATGAGAAATAATCGCGTTCTTTGAGATTATAATTTAAATCAGCTTCTCGAACGCAGAATGAAGACTTAGTACTGTAATTTAAAAATCCGATTCTAACTTAATAATCCTCGTACTTCTGCCGCTGAGCACTATTTTAAGGAAGGCATTTGATATGGTTAGGATTAAAAAGTCATTCTACACTGTTGTCTTGCGTTCTGATGGGTATTTGTTCAGCATAAACTCTTATCTTGTAGAGGACTGTTATCATGTTATGGGTTATATAGTTATTATATAGGTTATAACAACACCTGCCACCACGTGAGTTTAGGCTGTGTTTTATCAGTAACACAATATTGTTCAACATATGTTAGTCGGTATTGTTCAACATATGTTAGAACTGTTTGACTGACTTGACTGAATTTGGTGCCGCTTTTAGCACCCATTATCTCTATACATCATTAGAAACATTGTCTTCGGCGTGACGACCATCGACTACAAGGTACTCTGTATTGAATATTATATCTAAATATCTATGTGTAAATTGGATATTTCCAACCTTTTTTCATATTTGTTTAATCATTAGTGTGTTCTAATTTCGATATCCTGTAACACTGTTTTCACGTTTTAACTATCCTTGACCCAGTCGTTTAAAGTCTGCATGATGTGACTCACTTGTCATTGATCACTGAATCACTGAACAACATAAATGTGAAATTAGAATTTACAAATGTCAAATTAAAATATAAATATGTTCTAAAAAAACTTTTTCGGAGATCAAATCTGAAAGATTGCCAAATTGACGACCAAGCTACCGCTCAGATACCGGAGGACGTTCTCTGTAAATTCATAGTGATAGACACAGAGATCAGATATCTCACTCACCTTGACCAATCCTAAGTCCAAACAATCCATCCACGTTGATGCTACTATAATCTGAGCTGAAGAACTTAATAGCGCGATCAACTGCATCTATAACCCTTGGAAGGAGGCTTTCTTTCGTCGGGGCCCCATTGACGATCGTCAATGTAAAGACTAACAGTACAACCGGAGACATTCTAGGAACCCACAAAGTCTTATCCGAGCACACCTATTTATGAGAATCCGCAGATGGTTAACGGAATAATCTCCACCTACAACCCACACTGAAAGCCAGAGCTCGTCAGCATGTTCCTATCGCTTTGGTCCGTGACGTCATGTTATATCGACAACCTGTGTCCAGTGAGTCGTTTGATTGACAGCGTGTAGGTGCCACAGTGTTAGGTTCAGCCAAACTCATTCGCTGGGTTGGGAAACGGGATTTCGTTCCGCCTTAGCGCCATGCGAGGACGTGTTATTAATCTTAGCTCGACTATTGTCGATTTCACTGCAGGTGACTGTCAGCTGGCAGCACGAAGTGTGACGGGTTGTCAATTTCGTTACACCATGTCTATTGCAAAAGTCAGGTGGTTTGCCTTTTATCACGGTTAGATCCCGGAAGTGGCAAGATTTTCATTGTTATCCTACATTGCGGTAACTGATTTTTAACGTATGTTTTTATGTTGTGCTATATTGGCCATATTCGTGTAGGTGTTCAATTATTGACGTTAAACTGTGCACGTGTTTGATAGATTTCACGTATCATGTCTGATATCAAGTTATTTAGCTACAATGTATATTTCTTGAGAAAACTCATTAATGACATTAAAGAGTTATGGTTTAGCACATAAGCTCGGGCTGTCATCGATACCCTGATTAATTATTCACCACATCATATCATAGTTCAGTCAGGTTTTGCACGTAGCTGTGTCAAAATCCACTGAATCATAAATACCAAATGCAGAATTAATAGACAGTGATTTCAAATGGACTTGATCGAGGACTTTGCATAACAGGTAATAATGTGACATAACACTGACAGAACGAAGAGAGTAAGTGCATAGTGTGAAAAACGAATGTGGATGTGTCGGACCCGAACTTGTGTGTGCAGCTTAACACTGGACTCATCAACCGATGCCCCCAGAGTGAGTGAGGGAGTCTTTAAAAATGAAACTAGTATTACAATTCGTGACACAATTACATCCGACCTCCAAACGTTGTACTCATGTATGCATAGAGTCGTGTCCAGTGCCGTATCAACGAACGCTTCTGTCACTGGGATATCCTACATAGTTCAACACAGCAATGTCATCTTTATGTGGACTCTCTACCTGCATTCTGTGGACACGTTACCTGCCGTCTATATCTATACTATTTTGACAAGGATTTATAATTCATTTTGTTTCGTAAAGTATGATATTGACCTAAATGTTATGTAGGCTAACCACGTGATACCAAATGATGGTAATTAATGTTGCCCTGCCTGGCAACCAGCGATATGAAAATGACAAAAGTACTCAAACCGAAACATGAGTCTCATTAATCTATTCAGACAATGACTTACTTTTCAGTCGATCCGAATTTTCTCGTGAAAAGACAAACATCTATGGTTACACTGAATTCGAGTTTCATAAGAAAATGGTATTTATAAGTTAATTTTAATTTTAAACATAAATAACATCGTATTTCTATATTTTATGGCGAGGTGTTGGCAGCATGGCCTTAACTAAGACGTCACGTTTGATGAGGTCGTAAAATTATTTACAATTCATCTGGCTCACCGGTTACACCTGTTATGCGTTCTTTGCGCTTATTCAGTGTTGTTTTGCAACGTACAATGTGATTGATATAATATCAAGTCCGTACCAGACCGCCAAACTTTTCTAGCGGCAGAGCCTCGTTTTGAGATTTCTACGATTTCCGTTTGTCAGAGCACGCTGTACGACAGAGCCCGCTGCACGACGTGTTTGCAAGGATTAGAAGGAGCATAGTGTTGCAATATACAAGTGCTTAGATGTATCATATAATACTGATTAATATTTATGTATCCAGTTGAATGAATTGGTATCAAAATTCTGGACTAGTTATTGTACTAATATGCGCACTCAGTCAGCAGGAAACGAGACTGTTGTGTAATCAATGTTTTGACTTGAATTGTGAACCGAAATCTTGTCATACATCGTATAGTGCAGCAAGTCTTGTCATACATACATGTAGTATAGTGCAGCAAGTCTTGTCATACATCGTATAGTGAGTGGGTATGCTTTTACGCCGCTTGTAGCAATATTCTAGCAATATCACGTCGGGAGAACACCAGAAATGATCATTACACATTGTACCCATGTGGGGAATCGAACCCGGGTCTTCGGCGTGACGAGCGAACGCTTTAACCACTGGGCTACCCCACCGCCCCAACACATCGTAATGTGCAGCAAGTCTTGTCATGCATCGTATAGTGAACCAGGTTGTGTCGTACATCATATAGTGAACCAGATTTTGCCGTACATGGTATAGTGAACCAAATTTTGCCGTACATCGGAAAGTGATCCAGATTTTGCCGTACATGGTATAGAGAACCAGGTTATGTCATGTGTCGTATAGTGAACCAGGTTGTGTTGTACATGGTATACTGAAGGAGGTTGTGCAGTACATGGTATAGTGAACCAGGTTGTGCAGTACATCGTATAGTGAACCAGGTTGTGTCGTACATGGTATAGTGAACCAGGTTCTGCCGTACATCGTATAGTGAACCAGGTAGTGCCGTACATCGTATAGTGAACCAGGTTGTGTCGTACATGGTATAGTGAACGAGGTTGTGCCGTACATGGTATAGTGAACCAGGTTATGTCATGTGTCGTATAGTGAACCAGGTTGTGTTGTACATGGTATACTGAAGGAGGTTGTGCAGTACATGGTATAGTGAACCAGGTTGTGCAGTACATCGTATAGTGAACCAGGTTGTGTCGTACATGGTATAGTGAACCAGGTTCTGCCGTACATCGTATAGTGAACCAGGTAGTGCCGTACATCGTATAGTGAACCAGGTTGTGTCGTACATGGTATAGTGAACCAGGTTGTGCCGTACATGGTATAGTGAACCAGGTAGTGCCGTACATCGTATAGTGAACCAGGTTGTGTTGTACATGGTATACTGAAGGTGGTTGTGCAGTACATCGTATAGTGAACCAGGTTGTGCAGTACATCATATAGTGAACCAGGTTCTGCCGTACATCGTATAGTGAACCAGGTAGTGCCGTACATCGTATAGTGAACCAGGTTGTGTCGTACATGGTATAGTGAACGAGGTTGTGCAGTACATCGTATAGTGAACCAGGTAGTGCCGTACATCGTATAGTGAACCAGGTTGTGTTTTTCATGGTATAGTGAACGAGGTTGTGCCGTACATGGTATAGTGAACCAGGTTATGTCATGTGTCGTATAGTGAACCAGGTTGTGTTGTACATGGTATACTGAAGGAGGTTGTGCAGTACATGGTATAGTGAACCAGGTTGTGCAGTACATCGTATAGTGAACCAGGTTGTGTCGTACATGGTATAGTGAACCAGGTTCTGCCGTACATCGTATAGTGAACCAGGTAGTGCCGTACATCGTATAGTGAACCAGGTTGTGTCGTACATGGTATAGTGAACCAGGTTGTGCCGTACATGGTATAGTGAACCAGGTTGTGCCGTACATCGTATAGTGAACCAGGTTGTGTTGTACATGGTATACTGAAGGTGGTTGTGCAGTACATGGTATAGTGAACCAGGTTGTGCAGTACATCGTATAATGAACCAGGTTCTGCCGTACATCGTATAGTGAACCAGGTAGTGCCGTACATCGTATAGTGAACCAGGTTGTGTCGTACATGGTATAGTGAACGAGGTTGTGCCGTACATGGTATAGTGAACCAGGTAGTGCCGTACATCGTATAGTGAACCAGGTTGTGTTGTACATGGTATACTGAAGGTGGTTGTGCAGTACATCGTATAGTGAACCAGGTTGTGTCGTACATGGTATAGTGAACCAGGTTGTGTCGTACATCGTATAGTGAACCAGGTTGTGCTGTACATGGTATAGTGAACCAGGTTGTGTCGTACATCGTATAGTGAACCAGGTTGTGCCGTACATGGTATAGTAAACCAGGTTGTGTCGTACATGGTAAAGTGAACCAGGTTGTGCCGTACATGGTTTAGTGAACCAGGTTGTGCCGTACATGGTAAAGTGAACAAGGTTGTGCAGCACATCGTATAGTGAACCAGGTTGTGCCGTACATGGTATAGTGAACCAGGTTGTGCCGTACATCGTATAGTGAACCAGGTTGTGTCGTACATCGTATAGTGAACCAGGTTGTGCCATGTGTCGTATCGTGAACCAGATTGTGCCGTACATGGTATAGTGAACCAGGTTGTGTCGCACATCGTATAGTGAACCAGGTTGTGCCGTACATCGTATAGTGAACCAGGTTGTGCCATGTGTCGTGTCGTGAACCAGGTTGTGCCGTACATGGTATAGTGAACCAGGTTGTGTCGCACATCGTATAGTGAACCAGGTTGTGTCGCACATCGTATAGTGAATCAGGCTATGCCATGTGTCGTATCGTGAACTAAGTTTCGTCACATCGTACCGCCCAAATCAGTATTATTTTCATGCCTGGCGATTGGTCGGTCAACAGATCACTATCGGAGTGTACAAGAAGCTTAATGCTAATATTAATGCAAATTAGACTTTACACAAAACGATAAGGATTTGCTATGCTTGTTAAGGAATTTGTAGAAACCTGTTTTCAAAAACACACAAATATCAAATGCCAACAAAATCGTAAAAGTTCATCTTTTGCATCAGACCAAAGTATCCGTTACAGCAGGTGGACACAAGTACCTCACGCCGAAGACCCGGGTTCGATTCCCCATATGAAGCCCATTTCTGGTGTCCCTCGCGGTGATTCCTTGCTGGAATAATGCTTAAAGCGTATCCCAAAACATTTTGTTAGGATTGTGTCCCTTGTGCCTATACACAGAATCATAAGGTTCGCATCTCAGTTCGCAACGATTGTGTTTCTGGAATTTTCAGTAATATGTGCGTGCTCCCACTCTCCCCGCTCACTCACTCACTCACTCACCCGCAAACACACTCACTCAACCACCCAAACCACTAACTCACGCACTCACTCACCCTCCCGCAAACCGAACTCACTCACCACTCACTCACTCACCTACCCAACCCAGTCACACACTCACCCTCCCGTTAACCCAACACACACACTCACTCACTCACTCTGTGGGCATCGGTTAGGTGAGTCCAGTGTTTCAGCAGCACACTCG